CAGTATAGCCTGCGCGGGGTAGGGCAAGGGCCGGGTGGGTCGATGGTCGAGCGCCGACGCGTGCCGTGGCTGCACGTGCGCCCAGTCGCGTCGGTCGTCGCTTCTTCCATCCGCAACCCCATGCAAATGGCCGCGCTGTCTGGCTCAGGGGGATCCGGAGGGGGAGGAGGCGGAGGTGGAGCGCCCGCCGCCATGGCTTTCCCGCGCTCGCAGTCCCTGCACCCCGTCAGGCGGTCGGTGGGGGGATCCGGGGATTGGGGAGCCGCGCGAGCCGCTTTTGCCGGACCAGGGAGCGACGAGGAGGAGGAAGCGGACGGTGAGGCGCGCCGCGCAGGTGCGGGCTGGGAAGGGGGGGCGAGGAGGCCGGGCGGGCGGAGGACCGTCGGGGGAGTTGGGGGCGGCGGGAACGACGCGGAGCCGAGGCAGTGGGAAGGGGGCGCCGTGGAGGGTGCGGGAGAGGGGGAAGCGGTGGTGTTTGAGCGCACGAGCACTGCGCCAACGGGGGAGCTGCATGCGGCGCGGTATCGGATGATGGAGCGCGAGAGCCTCCGCGCAATGTACCGCGCGGACAGGGCGCGCCGGCGGATGGAAGCAGGCTCCGGAGGCGCGGGCAGCACTGACTTCGGCCGCGGCGGAGGCGGAGGCGGGGGAGGGTGGTCGGGTAGCGACCGGGAGCGGGGGGGCGGTGGCAGGGCGGGCGCCGCCAGCCACCTGCGGTCGCATTCACTGTTGGCGGGTGGGGACGACGAAGGCAGTGACGGAGGTGGAGGAGCGGGCGGAAGCGCGGGGGTCGCAGGCGCGCAAAGGGGAAATCATCCCTACCCCGCAGTGGGCACTTCGCTTCCGCCCAGCGCACGCAGGCCCGCGCCTTCCCGCCACCATGCGGAGGCGGCGCATGCCCCCGGCGGTCCGCCGCAGGGCTACCGTGACCCTTCCGCTTCCGCGGCAGCTTCGGGCGCGGGAGCGGGCGGAAGGGGTCACCGCGTTTCGTTGTCGCTAGGAGATATGGAGCATGCGGGGGAACATGAGGGGGCTGGCGCTGGCGGCGGCGGGGGCGGGGCCCCTCTCGCGGACGCGGGCGCAGGCGTAGGCGGAGGGGGTGACGGGGCTCCCACGTGGCCCTGTCTTCCGGAAGTTTTGGCGAATAGGGCCGCGCTTTCGCACGGGCACGTACCTGCCTATCCGCACAAAATTCCGCAGAGCTACAGTCAGGGCAGCGTTGGGGGTAGCCCCGCGCGCAGTCGCGCCAACAGGAGCGGCGGCGGGTACGGGGGTAACAACAGCGGGGGTGAGAGCGGGGGGGAAGAGGCAGGGGGGGGAAGCAGTAGGCGCGGGGGAGAGGTCCGGGGAAGTGAAGTGGGAGGTGCGTATACGAACAGGTTGGGTAGTGGCAGCAGCATGAGCAGCATTAATAGTGCGTTGTGGGCGGACGAAGGGAGGACGAGCAGCAATGGGGAGAGGGAGTTGGGGTTTGGAGCTGGATCGAGGTCCGTGGGAGGAGGCGGAGGAAGTGGGGGGAGTAATCATGGTACTGATGCTGCTTCTGCTGGTGCTGCCGCGGGGGTAGCTGAAGGGAGCAAGAAGAAGGGAGGGCTGGCGGGAGGCATGGCTCTTGGTGCGTCTAGGTTGCGTGAGTCGGCAGCTGCACGCATGTTCAGACGATCGCCCTCGGTCACTTGAGAAAAAGGTACGAGTGGTGTGCACATCTGGGCAGGGGGCAGGCGGGCAAGGGGAAGGGGGCAGGGAGCAGGGGGCAGGGTCATGAGGCAATAGGCAGTAGAATGCAGCTAGCTGTCTGTTCACTGAGGGACATGGCGACTAGATAGATATCCGAGGCTGGAGATAACTCAGAAGGTGAGTGTGTCACGACAGAATATGCGGGCCAATTCGCCCTCCCTTCACGGCAGTGCTGTCTGTGTGGTGCTCTTTACGGTGCATTGAGAAGACAAGAAAGAGAAGAAGAGATTTTGTGTAAAACTGTCACAAGGCCTTTGCATCATCACCCGAGACTGCTGTGAGATGCTATGGATGGGGTGGTGAAGTTCGGGGTCCGGGGAAACCAGCCTGGGGTGGTGGTGCGATCTAGTGAAGCTGTTGTTGCTTGCGAGATTCTCGTAAGTTGCATTGCGGAGAACGTACGTTGAGGACTGGACATGTCTCTGTTAGGGCATTCGGCCATTTATGGACAGTTGAATGGGACGGTAGGGAGGGAATTGTGAGAAAACGGAGCTCTAGAGGTGAGGGGGAGAGAGAGAGGGGGAGGGGGGGGGGGGGGGGGGGGGGGGGGGGGGGGGGGGGGGGGGGGGGGGGGGGGGGGGGGGGGGGGGGGGGGGGGGGGGGGGGGGGGGGGGGGGAGGGAGAGGGATGGGAGGAAAATATTGAGGCAGAGCAGGGCCTGACATGAGTTGATGCTACTTTTCGTATAAGGCGGGTACACATACAGTGCTGCTGTTACTCTGTGCATATACATGATCAAATCTGCAGCCGGTGGTGTTGTTTGCAACTCTCTGTACAAGAAGGGATTAATAGTAAAACAATCAATCAAGCTGCTCGCGTTTCTTCGCTTGTGTTATGCGTTCTAGTCCACCTGCCGTCGCCCTTTCTGCCCTGACAATCGTCTACCATGTGGGTAACTACCCACCATCTCATTTCCATACTCTCCTGCTGCTCTCCCTGCTTCCTTTTCCTGTCCATCCCGTACCCACATATCTCCCTGGTGCTCTCATCCTGTGTGGTTCTTGTTTCAGGCTTGTGCATCGTTCAACCAGGATGGCTGATGTTAGCAATGGGTTGTTTGGACATCCGTTGGTTCGATTTCATATACAGCATCTGTGCCCGTATATGATAAAGAAGGCATTGGGATTTTGAAGGACAAGCCGTGTGACTGTATGTGTGTCTCGCAGTTCCAGCCCGCTGCATGCATGGCCTCTCGATGTATGTTGGGAAAATGCTGCTGTAGATGAGCAGAGCAGCAACTCAGCAGGCAGAGCGATGCAGCAACTCCAGTTCTTTTTCTTGCTCTGGTTTCTAATGCCCTGAAACTGTTTCTCGCTGATAGTACTGCTGCAGGTCCCTTCTACAATATGTAGGTTGCCATGCTTCCATCTTACAGTACAATGTTTCTTCTGACACTCTTTCTTATTTAATGGATCAATCTTATACTATTTGTTTCCCGAACAAGTTCATTGATCTGCGCCCTTGACTTTGTACACTAGCAGTGCAGTACAGTTCTCCACTCTCCTCCATCATCTGCCTCTAGTCTGCCGATAATGTAACCGTGAGGCGAGGCGACCTGGAGGACGACAGGATCGCAAATGGGTGACCACGCAGCAGCCGGAGTCCACATTTTGAGATCAATTCGAACCAAAAATAAAAATAAAAAAAAAATGTAATCCGAGTCCAGAAAGTGTATCTTTGCGGATTAGACGGATTTTCAAGATTGATTGCTCAACGGATTGTCAGAATTGATTGCTCAAGTGCATCCTTAGCCAGTCTCGAAGTGCCTTATCGATTCCCACAACCTCATTTGTTAAAAATTTGGTCACGGCACGGAGCTTATTGATTCGACAACGTCTACACCCTCATTCTCGGCCTACGCACAATTGGGAGCCCGGGCAACAGTGCGTACTGTTGCTTGGACCCTAGCGATCTGGTGCTTGGAGCCGAACCCTAGGTAGGTGGCGGGCAAATGCACTCCAAAAGGAACGGTATACAACGGTGTAAAGAAGAAAATGTGTTTTTGCGTACGGTTGAGCACGACAAATGTGCTTACAGGGTATGTTATTGGACCATTTTGGACGCATTGATGTCATTACAGGTGGCATGTTCATGTGGCGATTGTGCATGTGGCGAGAATGAGGGTGTACTCAGTGCGAGATGAAGATTGAGGGCAATTCAGAATGTGCACTCAATGTTTTTCCGGAGACCGGGAACACTGGGTTACACTTGGATACAGTCGTTATGGTGAGATGTTGAGTGTACGCAGGTGGTGGGGAAATGAGTGAGAGTGGTGGGTGTGGATGGCGAGTGTGTGAGGGAAATGAGGAAAATGGTAAGCCAGTAGAAAACAAGTTGCCCAGCCAATTCGGAAACTGGAAGCCAATCGCTGTTCATGTGCTGGGCTGATTTGGTGTGTGCTTCAAACGGATTTTTTTCTCGGGTCCTGTACAATTATCTAAAACTGTATGGCTAGCAGCAAATGGAGTAATTACTTCAGAATGTAAGAAGCAGCGCGAATCAAGGTCAAGCAAAGTAGGTGAAAGGGGGTGCTGCTGTTGCTAGGGAACAAGAACCTAATTTCTTGGACAGGCTACTGCATTTTCGCTCGCGAGCAACTATGTAAATGTTGGGCTAGAGCTCGTTTGCGAGGAGTAGGCCGTACAAAGTAGTACTTAAAGTCTGAGCCATCATGCAGAGGAAAAACCACAATGGCCGAGAGCATTTTCACAGCCCAAGAAGCTGGTTTGACAGCTGTTTTGGTCTTGAGTTGCCCTAATGTGGGATAAGTTAATTTCCGGCTCTTCTAGTTCTGGTCTGTCGCCGTTATAGCTTCATCGTTAGCATCTCTAGTTTCTCGCTCGTTGTAGTCGTTCCTTCGCTAGTATCCCCTGGCTTCCCCCCTTCCTCTCCCTCCTTTGCCTTTTCCCGTCCCCGCTCGTCCGCTCGTCCTTTTCCCTCCCCTTTCTGTCCCACGTTAAGACGTGAGTGCGGTGAGCGCCCGCGCCTTTAGGGCGGCGGCGGCGGAGGAGGAGGTGGAGGAGTTGGAAGGGGAGGAGAAGGAGGAGGAGGAGAACATGGGGAGCTGTTTCTCCGTCGAGACGCGAGTGGTGGGCGAGAAACAACCTTCTAAAGGAGCGGACCAGGCGCAACTCCAGCAGAATCAGCAGCAGCTGCAGCAGCAGAAGCAGCAGCAGCAACAACAGTTAAACCCGGGAGCCGAATCCAACGATAGCATTTTCCAGGGTGAGTGAATCGGCTCCCTCTACCATCTTCCACTCATATCAATGACGCGAAATTCCTGAACGCTTGGCGACGTCTTGCGACGCCCTGGCGACTATCGCCGTGCGGTATCGTTGATCGCGCGAAGATCGTAATCTGCGTGATTGGACGTAGCCGGCCCGCTCGTCGTGACTGCGCGCGTGAGTGCGAACCGCTGGGATAAGAATAGAACCATCGTATGGACGATAACCAAGCTGCGGAGGCGGAACGGCGCGAAGTGCATGGCATGGCAGCGGAGCGGGAAGCGAGTTGAACTCAGCGGGGGAGAGGGAAACGATCCTTGGGGAGAGATGAGAGAGATGAGAGAGATGAGAGAGATGAGAGAGATGGGAGAGATGGGAGAGATGAGAGAGATGGGAGAGATGAGAGAGATGGGAGAGATGAGAGAGATGGGAGAGAGGGGAGAGATGGGAGAGATGAGAGAGATGGGAGAGATGAGAGAGATGGGAGAGATGGGAGAGATGGGAGAGATGAGAGAGATGGGAGAGATGAGAGAGATGGGAGAGATGAGAGAGATGAGAGAGATGGAAGAGAGGGGAGAGATGAGAGAGATGAGAGAGATGGGAGAGAGGGGAGAGATGAGAGAGATGAGAGAGATGGGAGAGAGGGGAGAGATGAGAGAGATGGGAGAGAGGGGAGAGATGAGAGAGATGAGAGAGATGGGAGAGAGGGGAGAGATGAGAGAGATTAGAGAGATGGGAGAGAGGGGAAGGTGGGTCCTGGGACGGGATGGTTCTTGAGGCGCCTAAAAATTCGGGGCGGGAAGAGAGTTGGACTGAGCGATCCGGAAATTATCGTTAGGGAGAGATGAGAGAGAGGGGAGAGAGGGGAGAGAAGGGAGAGAGGGGAGAGAAGGGAGAGAGGGGAGAGAGGGGGGAGAGGGGAGAGAGAGGAGAGAGGGGAGAGAGCGGAGGGTGGGTCCCGGGACGGGTTGGGGGGGGTCGTTGCGTGGGGAAGGGAATGGGGAAGGCGTCGTACTGTCCCCCAGCCAGCATCGGAAGGATTTTTTAGTCGACTCACAAATTGGGTAGGGGGGGGTCATTCATTGTGTGTGGGGAGGGGAATGGGGAATGAGTCGTACCGCCCGCCAGCCAACATTGGTCGGATGCTTCTTTCCAAGTGAATGCACACACGGATGTTCACCACCGCTGCTGGAGCCGGGAGTGAGTTAGAGAGACGCAGTCAGTCGTATGTATAGGCGTAGCGTAGGGCCAGCCAGTGGATGAGGATGTCAGCCAGACAGGTACCTACCTATCTATCTTGGCGCTGGAGCTGGGAACGGAACGGAGAGACGATAGTTGTTGTATTGTTCTGGATCCTGATGAGATTCCATTGGGGTCCTACCAGTCCTGATGACAGTTCGTGTGGTGCTGCTGCCTCGTGATGCCCCTTACCTACCAATTGCCTTGCAGAATGCCTCTGCGCGGTACCTGAACCATTAACTTTGTTTCGTCTCTCCGTCCGTCCTTTCTAGCAGTTATCATACAATCCAATGCCCATTCACGATTCATCTCTCTCATTCATTATGCTGCCTGCCCTAGACATGTGACCGGGAATTTCTTCCCTCGCCACCTTCATATCATACACACATGCAACTACCCAAACCTCCTTTCCCTTGCCCAAACCCCCCTGGGCCGGACCTTTTCCCTGCCTCCCAATCAGGCCCGGATCTCGCCGAGCCAACCCCGAACCAACCAGGCGCTGTAAACCCCCCTGCATCTTCCCCTTCCGCCACCTCCGCTCCTGCTGTTCCCCCTGCGGAAAATCCGCACTCCGCGGATGGAATCTCCCCCAAAGGCGGCGAGGGGGGCGGCACTGGCGCTGGCAGGACGAGCAGAAACAGCGGGAACAGCGGGAACAGCGGCGGCAGCAAGAGCAGTGCAGGCAGCAGGAACAGCGGCGGCAGCAACTCAAACCACCCGCAGCAGCAGCAGCAGCTGCAGCAAGGAACAGCATCCAACCATCCGTCCATAGCCATCCCGCAATCACCGTCCCCATCCTCCACCACCTCGGGTCGAAGCCCCGTTGCTGCTCCCATCTCCCCTGCCGGCCCGGTCACACCGCAAGGCCACAACAGCAGCAGCAACAACAACAATCAGCCGCTGCGGCCCGTGCTGCCGACAGCAGCAGACGACCTAGCAAATTACTCCTCCTCCCATGCTTCCTCCCAGGGCCTCCGGTCGTTCTCCTATGGGGAGCTTCGAGAGGGCACGTGCGGGTTTAAAAACGACCTGAAGCTCGGTGAAGGGGGGTTCGGGTCGGTTTATAAAGGCGTGATTGCGGTCGGGGGTGGGGGGAGAGCGGGGAGGGGAGGCGGAGGGGGAGGGGGGCGTGGGGGGGGAGCGGAGGAGACGAGTGGGCGGATGGTTGTTGCAGTGAAGAAGCTGAACGAAGATGGGCTGCAAGGCCACAAGGAATGGATGGTATGTTATTACCCGCCCTTTGGCCCCCCCCATTCCTCCTCTGGTTTTTAAGGATTAAAAAGAACCAGCGTGTTCCTGAATGGTAGTGGCTGTGAAGAAGCTGAACGAAGATGGGCTGCAAGGCCACAAGGAATGGATGGTATGTTATTCTTACCAGCCCTTGCCTCCGCATTCCTTCTCTTCTTCCTTCTTATTTCTCCTCAAGATCCCGATCCTGGCCCTTCCCCCTTATCCTAACCCTTTCTCCTCCCCAGTCGTTTCCCTCCCGTTTTACCCGTTCCTTTTCCCTCCGCCCTTCCTTCCTTTCCGGCTTCTTCCTCGTCTTACCGTCTCCCGCGTTCTTTCTCTCCAATCCGACTTTCTCTCTATAACCTCCCTCCCCCCCCCCCCCCCCGTTGCCGCCTTCCTTCAACCCCCCTGCCAATGATGCCCCTATTTCTCCCTCCTCCCCATGAACTTTGTGATAATAGATGACTTTTGAGACGTCTCAAAAGCCATTCCTCCCTCCTCCCCATGCTCTTGTGATAATAGTTTGCTGTTGAGACGCCTCTCCTTTTGAGACACCGCTCCTCCAACCCCTTCCTCTCCCCACTCACTCCCCCTCAACCTAGCTAATCACCACATCTCTCAGGCCAATGATTGAACCCCCAGCTCCTCCCCTCCCGCTCCCCCTCCCCTTCCTCCTCCCCCTCCCGCTCCCCACCCCCTTCCTCCTCCCCTCCCGCTCCCCCTCCCCTTCCTCCTCCCCCTCCCGCTCCCCCTCCCCTTCCTCCTCCCCCTCCCGCTCCCCCTCCCCTTCCTCCTCCCCCTCCCGCTCCCCCTCCCCTTCCTCCTCCCCCTCCCGCTCCCCACCCCCTTCCTCCTCCCCCTCCCCCTCCCCCTTCCCCTCCCCCCTCCCCCTCCCCCCTTCCCCTCCCTCACACGTGGCACCTCAAAGGCCGGAGGAGACCATGCTGGGCAGCACGCTGCGGCACCCCCCCTCCTGCTCCCTCCTACCCCACGCACCACCTTCTCTCCCCCATCTCCCCCCATTCTTCCCCCTATTTCCGACCATCTCCCTCCAGTCCCCCCATTCTCTCCCTCCTCCCCCCCCCCCCCCCCACATACACCCACTAAAGGCGGAGGTGAACATGCTGGGCACGCTGCTGCCACCCCAACCTGGTGACGCTCATAGGCTACTGCATAGAGGGCGGCTCATACAACTCCACTCTCCCCCCATTCGCCCCCACTCGCATCCCCTCCCCCCTCATTCCCTTCCCCATTCCCCCCCCCCACAGGCGGAGGTGAACATGCTGGGCGCGCTGCGCCACCCCAACCTTGTGCTCCCCGCAACCCCTCTCCCTCACTTCTCCCCCCGTCCCCCCTTCGTCCCCCCACGACCCCCCCTACAGGCGGAGGTGAACATGCTGGGCACGCTGCGCCACCCCAACCTGGTGACGCTCATAGGCTACTGCATGGAGGGGGGCTCGCGCCTGCTTGTTTATGAGCTCATGGAGCGCGGCTCGCTCGACCACTACCTCTTCTCAGGTTCGTTCCTGTGTGCATGCGTGTGTGCATGCGTGTGTGCATGCGTGTGTGCATACGTGTGTGCATGCGTGTGTGCATGCGTGTGTGCATGCGTGTGTGCATGCGTGTGTGCATGCGTGTGTGCATGCGTGTGTGCATACGTGTGTGCATGTGTGCGTGTGCCTGTGTCACGCGCATGGAGGGGGGCTCGTGCCTGCTTGTTTATGAGCTCATAAGAGCGCGGCTCGCTCGACCACTACCTCTTCTCAGGTTCGTGTGTGCATGGGTGCGGGTGTGCATGGGTGCATACCAGGAATGGGGCTCCGCCCTTCCTCCTGTTATCGCATCCAAACTGCCCATTAATCAGGAGATGCAGTCACGTTGGGCGGGCTTTGGGCCGCATCCGTGGGGTGGGATGGCGGGAGGGGATGGTAGTTGAGCTTTCATTGATAAGCTTCCCTCCCTTCCCCTCCCTCCCTCCCTCCCTCCCTCCCTCCCTCCCTCCCTCCCTCCCTCCCTCCCTCCCTCCCTCCCTCCCTCCCTCCCTCCCTCCCGTCCTGCCCCTCCTTCCCCTCCCTCCCATCACTCCCCTCCCACCCTTCCCTCCCCTCCCTCCCTTCCGTGCCCTCCTGCCATGCCCTCCCCTTCCCCTCCCCTCACTTCCCTCCCGCCCTCTCCCTCCCCTCCATCCCTGCAGAAGTGGGCAACCCGCTGCCATGGGGGCAGCGCATGCGCATAGCCCTGGTCAAGGCCGCGAGTATTGACTCATCTCAGAGTCCTGTCTTCCAATTCTACTTCCTCTCCCGCCTCTTCCTCCCCTCCATCCCTGCAGAAGTGGGCAGCCTGCTGCCATGGGGGCAGTGCATGCGCATTGCCGCGATCAGTGAGGCGTCTGGGAAGCCTGTGCCTGCAGATGTGGGCATAGTTTTGAGACGTCTCAAAACACTCCTTCTTGCAGATGTGGGCATAGTCGCACACACGTTCTCTCTTGTGTGTTTTGAGTCGACTCAAAACACACCTGTGCCTGCAGATGTGGGCATAGTCGCACACACGTTCTCTCTTGTGTGTTTTGAGTCGACTCAAAACACACCTGTGCCTGCAGATGTGGGCATAGTCGCACACACGTTCTCTCTTGTGTGTTTTGAGTCGACTCAAAACACACCTGTGCCTGCAGATGTGGGCATAGTCGCACACACGTTCTCTCTTGTGTGTTTTGAGTCGACTCAAAACACACCTGTGCCTGCAGATGTGGGCATAGTCACACATTCTCTCTTCCCCCCCCCCCCCCCCCCCCCCCCCCCCCCCGCCTCTCCCTGATGCTGTAGGGTTTTTTTGAGAATTCTCAAAGAAGCCTGTGCCTGCAGATGTTGGCATAGTCGCGCATTCCATCTTCCCCCCCCCGCCTCTCCCTCCCATGACTGCAGACGTGGGCAGCCCGCTGCCATGGGGCCTGCGCATGCGCATAGCGCTGGTCAATACCAAGAGTGTTGACACGTCTCAAAGTCCTGTCTTCCAATTCCACTTTCCCCCCACCTCCTCCCCACCCCCCACCCGCCTGTGTAGACGTGGGCAGTCCGCTGCCATGGGGCGTGCGCATGAGCAGAGCGCTGGTCAAGGCCACATGTTAGAGTCCTGTCGTGACTTTTGAGTCGACTCAAAAGCCTGCGCATGAGCAGAGCGCTGGTCAAGGCCACATCTTAGAGTCCTGTCTTCCGTTTCCACTTCCCCTCCCCCTCCCCGCCTGCTCCTGCAGACGTGGGCAGCCCGCTGCCATGGGGGCTGCGCATGCGCATAGCGCTGGGCGTGGCGCAGTGCCTGGTGTACCTGCATGAGAACCCCCACCGCCCCATCATCTACCGTGATCTTAAGGCCGCCAACGTGCTGCTGGATAAGGTGAGAGGGGTGTGGGGAGGGGGAGGAGGGAGGAGGGCTGTGGGGCAGAGGGAGGGAGATGGAGGAAGAGTGGGGGAGAAGGGGCCGAAGGGGGAGGAGAGGGATGGAGAGAGGGAGGACACGATGAGTGGAGGACACCTCCTGGAAAAGAATGTGGGAAAGGTGAAGGTAGTGTTTACGGGGAGGGAGGAGGTTTGGGTTTGGAATGTCTGATTAATGCTCTGAGAGGCGCAGGGTATGGGTTTGGAATGCCTGGTGTACCTGCATGAGCAACCCCACCGCCCCATCATCTACCGCGACTTTAAGGCCGCCAACGTGCTTAAGGTGAGAAGAGAACTGGTGGAGGGGTGGGGAAGATGTGGGGGACGAGAGCTCATGCCTCTCTGTTCTCTTCTCTAATTCATTCAGCCCCTGTCTGCCCTCGCATCACTTTCGGAATCTCTCAGGAGCCTCTTTGCTTTCTGTATCAGCCCTTGTGTGCCTTCAAATCATGCAACTTCCCAAGGCACCATCAGCCGTCCCTCTTCCTGTCTCCCTCTCCCCCTCTTCTCACCCCCCCCCTTCCCCCCCCTTTCCCCTGCACAGGATTTTAACCCCAAGCTGGCAGGCTTTAGGCTCGCTGCTCTGTTGCTCAGCCCTTCTGCATACCTTCTCTCCCTGTCCCGATTCCTTTTCCCCCCCTCTTCTCCCCCGCCCAGGATTTCAACCCCAAGCTTGCAGACTTTGGGCTGGCAAAAGACGGGCCGGTGGGGGATAAGACGCACGTGACCACGCAGGTGGTGGGCACGTATGGCTATGCCGACCCAGACTACCTCTTCACTGGTGGGTGCTCACTCTCTTTCTCCCTCGCTCACTTGCCCATTCACTCGATTTCCCACTCACTCACTCACTCCCCCACTCACGCACTCCATCCCCCACTCACTAACTCACTCTTGCCACTCACTCCCTCACTTGTCCCACTCGTGCACTCACTCCCCCACTCACGTACTCACTCGCCCACTCGCGCACTCACCCCCCCACTCGCGCACTGACCCCCCCACTCGCGCACTCACTCCCCCACTCACTCACTCACTCCACTCGCTCACTTGCTCACATGTGGTGCGCCTTTTATGTTCTACCTTCATTCCTGCATGCATGCACAGCCTCATGTGTTTTCCTCCATCAGCTTACTGACCTCCTAAGCCCAACATCTTCAAACCCAACGAATTCCCACCTACGCACCTCTACTAACCACTACCAACTAACCACCCTATCCGAGACACCCTCTCTCTCCCACTCAACCCCCAGCCTGCGCACCCCTCTCTCTCCCACTTTCTCCGGGTTCTTCCACCAACCACCCAGGCCATCTGGCTCCCAAGAGCGACCAGTACGCCACCACTTGGCAGTGCTGTTGCTGGAGCTTCTTTCTACTCACGCGTGCCTGCACTCCCCTCTTTTTCCCGCTTGTTTCCCGCTTGTTTCTCGCTTTTTACCGCTTTGTTTCCCCATTCCCACCACCCAGGCCATCTGACTCCCAAGAGCGACGTGTACGGCTTCGGAGTGCTGCTTCTAGAGCTTCTATCCGGCCGGCAAGCCAGCGATTTCCCTACAGACGAGGAAGACGAGTCGAGGAAGCAAAGCAGGACCAGGGGCAACAGCGAGGTGATGGATGCTGAAGCTGGAGACGAGGACGACGAGGAGGAGGACGAGGGCGATTTGTTGGAATGGGCCGAGCCTATGCTGGCGGATCGGAAGCGGGTGGAGGAGGTGATGGACCCGAGGCTCGGGAGGGAGTGGCCGGCTCGGGGCGTGCAGAAGGCGGCGCTGTTGGTGTTGCACTGCACGGCGAGAAACCCGTATGAGCGCCCGATGATGAGCAGCGTGGTGAAGACGCTACGGGTGATGCAGCAGGGGTATACGTGGCCGCCCGCTGCTTCGGGGGGTGATGCTGGTGGTGGTGGTGGTGCTTCTGGTGGGGGGACCACACCCCGAACTCCCAGAACGCCTACCTGAGAGGGGCGAGGAGAGGGGAGGGGAGGGTGGGTGGGGTAGGGAGAGGAGGGTCGGAAGAAAAGGTGGGAGCAGGTCGAGGACTTGAGGAGTGAGGGGTAGATATTACGGTAGTGATGGTAAGGAAGGTAGAGAGGATGTGTGGGGATTGCAGGATAGGGCCAGGGAGGAGAGAGTCGGAGGGGGGTGGAGGGATCAGAGGGAGATGTGCTAGTGGGACGTGGTAATGATTTTGGGGGGATTTAGTGCACGGGTGGTGCCATGCAGGCAGTGTTCACAAACAAGACAGGCAGAAGGTAGAACGCGTGGCAGTTTTTTATTGTGCAGGTAGCACTGACATGTGAGAGGTGCAGGCTGAGGAGAATGTTTGTGTGAGCTGGTTGCGGAATACAGTAGCTGCTGTTTTTATCCCTCGTTACCCTACAGCAAAAGCCGCTTATTAGGCTGCTATGCTTATCCCTTGTGAGCGTTTATAAGTCTGCTTAGGTTGTCAGCACATCCAGCATCACCGTGTGTCTTAAGCAGTTTTGATGACTGGGGAGTCCTAGGTAGAGGTGAATACAAAAATGGACTAAATACAAGATTGGCGTAATTTTGTGTTCTTCTGTTTCACTGAAGTCATCATGGTGTACCAGTACCCTCAGTCTCTTCCCTCCAAAATGGCTCAGCTGTCTGACATTCCGAGCCACAGCCGAAACCTACTGCCATGGCCAGTAACGACCGAACCAATCAACACGCGTCCAGAAAGCCGCGTCATTCAAATAGGCCTTCCGAGGCACGAAAATCTGGGGGAAGCCACCTCACCGAGCCTTGAAAACAGGTCTTCTGGTTCGGATGGTGCTGATTTGCACCACATTGGGTTCGGTGTGCTTCGCTTCGCGTCGCTACTCTGGACTTCGACAACCTCGGTGATTCGCTGTCTGGAGGTCTTCCGCTGCGATGGCAAATGTCCATAATGCCCTAAGAACCCGAGAAAGGGCTAGGCTGCCTCAGCTGTTTCAAGTGCGTTTTGGGGGTAGTCTGTGTGTCTTTCTTTTCCTGCAAAGTAAACCCTGAAGCTAGGCTTCCTTCTCCTCCCAGTACGTATCCCTTCTCTTTCCTCCACTGGTGACCGAGAACTTGAGAGTTTTTCATTGACTTTCCAAACCCTTCCTGACCTTGCCGAGACGGATTAGGTTCCTGACAGGTGTCATTGTAGATCTAGAAAAACCCTTCAAAACTTGTATTTTCTTGCGGCGTGCGTACGCAAGGTTGCGCTCGTGCCCGTAAGCATGAAGGGTTAGTTTCCGCCCCTTTCCGGGTGCATTCACGGCATATTCCCAAAGAGCTGGGCCTCGTAAGTTTGTTTTCCAGACCAGTCGAAAGCCCACGTTTGGATCCCATATTTGACTTCAGCTGTGGCAAATAGCAGAGGGGAATTATAGCGGCAGTTACTTGCAGTCCCCATTGGAAGCAATCCAGTTCCGTAGTTTTCTAGAATCTATCTTGCTTTAGCCGACACGACAGAACCGCAAGAAGAAAGCGACCGTGTGACATTCTCACCTGTCAATGTCCCGTTTGCTCTAGTCATTATTCCGTTAACGCCTTTCTTTGGGCCCATCCGTCGCCATGGCAACAGCAGCAGCAGCAAGCAAGCAGAAAGTACGTAAGCGATGGAGCCTACCTTGGTCGTCTCTCCTATTCGAGGACACAACCTCGCCTGTCCTCGCTACGAAGAATTCCCTCCTATCCGGCGCCTCTCAGGTCCCTCGCGTTCCTCTCAAAAAACTACGAGCCGCGCTCCTATGTCGGCTCGCGTGTGCCGTTCTAGCAACCGTCGTCCTCTTTATAGTCGTTCTGATCCGCGGGGGAAGAGAAAACCACTTTTTCGGTACCTCCGAGTCGCCGAACCATGCAACTCACACGACCCAGGAGACGAGCTTCGGAATCAGCAGCGCGAGCGTGCTGTCCACTCACAGCGTGCCACGTATCTTCCTGTACCGGATGATTGGAAACGATATGCCGCCGTTACAATGCGAGGGACAGCTGTACAACAACCTGCAGTACACGCTACAGTACGAGCCTAAGCACCTGCCCGGGTGCCGGCGGCTGTGGGTGCTGAATAACATCGTGAACAGCACTGTGGAGAAGATGACTTTGGAGCTGCTATTGAACAACGGATACACCATGGATGTGAGTGGATTAGGGACACCTTGTATGACGCGCTTTAGAAGTTGTGAACAGCAGTGTGGAGAAGATGGCTCTTGAGCTGCTGCTGAACAACGGATACACAATGTATGTGAGTCATGCACGGGTGCAGCATGGGTGTGAGTGAAGCACCGGGTGTGAGTGAAGCACCGGGTGTGAGTGAAGCATGGGTGCAGCATGGATTCAGCCTCTTCTCAAACACCCGCCCCCCACCTTTCAAGTTCTTCCCTTCCCTTCCCCGTTTCCCCCTTTCCCACCTAACCCCTCTCCCCTTCTCCCTCCTGTCCCGACCCTCTCACCCCGCTTCTTCTCCCTAAATCCTCCTCCCTTTCCTATCCATTGCTCGGCACCTCAACTAGAAGCCACGTGGTCACATTCTAGAAGGCTTCTTCCGTCCCTTTCTCCTCCTCTGTTTCCCATCTTTGAGGCGCCTCAAAAGTATTTTTCCGTCCCCCCCTCCCCTCACTCCATGCTTCCCTATCCATCCCGCTGAGCCGCAACTAGAAGCGGCGTGGGCGCAGCCTAGTGTTTTGAATCAACCTGCATGGAAGATGCTCTCCCTGCTCGCCCTCTCGCCCTGCTCTCCCTGCTCTCCCTGCTTTCTCGCATCCCATTCCATCTTCAAGCCACCCCTCTTCCCCCCTTCCCCTTTCTCTTCCCCCTGTCCCCTTTCTCTTCCCCCCTTCTTCTTTCTCTTCCCCCCTTCTTCTTTCTCTTCCCCCCGTCCCCTTTCTCTTCCCCCCTTCTCCTTTCTATTCCTCTTCTCTCATCTCACCGCACCTCACCGTGCCTCACCGCAGGACATCCTCGTATTCCGCATCAACTACACGCGCCTTGCCTCCCTGCCCGAGCACGCATGGCTAGATGCCGTCACAGGTGCGTGGCTACCCCATGCGGTCACTTGTGCATCCCTCTTCTCTTCTCCCATCCCCTCTTTTCTTATCCTTTCTTTCACCCATCCCCCAACTCTCAGCCCCTGTCGCCGATCCCTTTCGTCTCCCTCTTCCCTCCCTCCTCCCAACCCAACCACTTTCCTGCCCTCCCTCTCAACCCCACCAGAGGTGAACAAGGTGCGGAACCACATGATAGCGCATGGCATAGCGCATGGCATTTCGCATGGCATAGCACATGGCATAGCGCATGGCATATCGCATGGCATAGCACATGGCATAGCGCATGGCATATCGCATGGCATATCGCATGGCATATCAGATGCATATCGCATGGCATAGCGCATGGCATAGCACACACACAACTCTCAACCACCTATTCCACTCCTTGGCTCTCCTTCCCCTTCCCTCCCTTCCAAGTTTTCCTCTTGGGACACACTGCGCAACTACATGATTACGCGCATCACTCAACTGCCGCCGCCTATGCCCACCCCACTCCACCCTACCCCACCCCGCCGCACCCCACCGCACCCCACCCGGGCCACCAGAGCTGAACGAGGTGCGCAACCACATGATAGAGCACGGCATAGCGCACGGGGCGCGGTGGGTGCTGCCTCTGGACGGGAACCACTTCTTCACGGCAGAGATGTGGGGCTTCATCCTCGCTGCTGCTTCCCGCCACGAGGCCGCCGGGAAAAAGAACCTCAAGGTGCGAACAGAGAGAGGGCGCTGACGAGAGAGGGAGAATCGGGGGGGGGGGGGGGGGGGGGGGGGGGGGGTCTGAAGGTTGAAAGAATTGGAAGTGAACTGATTTTTGATAAGGAAGGCACTAGGCCTTAAGTACAAACACGGTTGGGTTGAGCAAAGCTAGGGAAAGGATGGGATGGGAATCCTAGCAAATCTCCAAGTGGTGAGTTGGCAGATTTGCAGGATTACGAGAGAATCCCAACCAGATAGGGTTGGGATTACAAATCTACACCCAACCTACAAAGTAACCTAACCGATATAGAATATAGTACAAATTGTTGACTGAATATTTCTAACCAAGGTCTTTGTAGGAATTCTGGGGGATTGAAGCAGAGAGGATGGCGAGAACGGGTGCAACCGGTGCAGGCAGCCAGGGGAGACGGATGCTTGCTGCATGCATGTGCGTTCTCATGTCTTCCTCCCATGTCCATGCATGTCTTGCCGTGTACAGTCCATCAGATCCCAGTGGCCAAGGTAGACTGATGGCCCTCAATCGCCCGCCCCTCTGGCTTAACAACAGCACGGCGGCACCTTCCACCGCGTTTCGAAACAACCTTGCCTTCATTTCTTCCTCGCGTCCCCCCTCTTCCCCCGTGCGTCCTGTTCACCATCCACCGTCCATCAGATCAGATCCCAGTGGCGAAGGTGGATGGACGGCCCTCAATCGCCCGCCCCGCCCTCTGGCTCAACCGCAGCACGCCCTACCGCGTCTCGAAACAAACTTTCTTTCACTCCCCCCTCTTCCCCCTCCGCTCCCTCTGCCCCCACTTCCGCCATGTGCCCCACCCACCGGATACACATCAGATCCCAGTAGCCAAGGTATCTGGCCCTCAGTCGCCCCTCTGGCTCAACAGCAGGGCTGAGACAAACTTGCATTCATCACTCTCTCCCCCCTCTACCCCCGTATGCCCCATCCATCATCCACCACCCACCACCCACCACCCACCACCTATGCATCAGATCCCAGTGGCTAAGGTAGACGGCCCTCAGTCGCCCGTCTGGCTCAACGGCAGCACGCTCTACAGGGATTTGCAGCCGCACGCGCCTCTGCAGTGGGAAGGGCACCTTGGCTTTCGCAACGACTCCCCCCACCGCTTCCACCCAGGTGTGTGTGCTGTGCTATGCCTGATTCAACCCAGGTGTGTGTGCTGTGCCATTCCATCAACCGCCCCCTATTCCTCTCCCAGCCTATACCCTCTCACGCACTTCCATCATCCCTCCAACCCCCTCCACCTTCCTCTTCTCTCCCCCCACCTTGTTGCTCCTCCAACCCTCCATGTCTCAAACCCCAAACTCTAATGCCGCACAGGTCTGGGGTACGGGCGGCGGTGCAAGCTAGAAGCCATGGATCGCATCTGTGGCACAGGGCTGTACTATGAATGGCACGAGGCGTTCCGATACCTGGGACTGCTGGAGCTCTACCACCCAGACTTCACCCCTCTCAGAGCAAACACGGGGGAGTGCGGGTGCATGTGGGAGGTCGGCAGGGACTATCGCACGCGGCCGATGAAAGAGTCTTTAGCGCGGGCGTGTGGGATGAGCGTGCGGCTGTGGTATTTTCCGTGTGACGGGAGGGGAGAGCATGGGGGAGCGGTGACTCGGAATGAATCGTATGCGTTTTCGTTGAGGTATACTGCGCGGTCGATACTGCGGGGGAAGATTCGGGCTATGATTGAGGCGACAAAGGCGGGGAAAAGAAGATGATCAAGCGGGCAAGGGGAGGAGGGAAGGAGGGGAGGTTAATTGATTCTGTTCGAAGTGATTATCCCAGTAAAAACTGACCCAAATCATGGGAAGGTACCGTGCCGATTCAGGCTTGGACTGACCAGTGCCGGTCAGAGACGGTCAGGGATGGAGAATGAAAGGATGGTGTGGTATTGCGCTCGATTGCAAGCCCAAGCACGAGAAGATCCAAGATTATCCTTCATGCCTATCACAGTCTGTGTGTGAAGTGTGTGGAGGAGTGGAGGAGTAAGCATTGGAGGACTGGAGTCACGAGTACCATTACACTGGATGGAAGGGCACAGCCCATTGCAGTGCAGTTGGAAGGAGACCCTTCGGAGGGCACTGGGGAGGGGATGGCTGGTACTGAAACATCATGATTTCACACTTGAGGGGGGGAAAAGCAGTGCTAGGTGCCATACAAATACAAGGTAGCCTTTTTAGTTTATATGAAAGCGTGCTGGTTTTTGTAGAAAGCATGTGTTTCGCATTAGAGTGGCACATAGTTAGGTACACCAAGACCCTTTTCGAATAGAAAACCCCATGATTGTAGTATCCAGTCCAAGATTGTTACTGCTTGCATACAGTACACTGTCCACAACCACCTCCCAATGTTACAGTAAAGATTTCCAACGTAGCATTTGGCTCTTGCACACCTCCATATATGTTGATTATTAATATACAGCCTACCTTTCCCTACACCTCCAACTCCAGTCATTTCAAAAACACAAGCACTTAACCACTACAGTGCCTGAGCAGCGAGCAGGTTGTGTGTGTACAAAAGAGTAAATAACACCTCCACTTGCCCCAACCCCAACCCACTCCAGTCATGCTACGGTACATGTGGGAAAAAAAAAGTCCTCAAAACCCTCTTTTCCTTCCCAGGTCCCTGTGCCCGTTAGTCATCTCAATCACAGGACGCTTCTTGCTGACTGGCAAGCTAGCTGGAGCCAATCAGAGCGTCTTGTTTGCAGACTGGGTCGGCTGAGTCGGCTGGGCAGGCAGAGGTGATTGCGGTGGCTGCGGTGGGTGTGTTGGGGCCACTGGGGGCCTGCGGTTTTCACCCACACGCACTAGACTCATGTGCAGAATAATGAGGTTCAGGACGGCGTGAGTTAGTATGGGCGCAACAAGATTGCCAGTCTGTGGGATGGGAGTGTTGGAGGGGAGGCGGGGTGTGGAGACAGGAGGAAGGGGGGGAAGGATGAGACGTTAGACATGCACGCACACGGGCAGAAACTGCACCATCGGATCAGACCATCTGGGCTTGATGATATGGTGGAACGGGAAACACCAGTCGAGCATCATATACCATCAATAGTCAATCAATGATCCAGCATCGATCGTAATGCCACTCATGCAATCCCCACCATCATAACGCCACTCATGCAATCCCCACCATCATAACGCCACTCATGCAATCCCCACCATCATAACGCCACTCATGCAATCCCCACCATCATAACGCCACTCATGCAATCCCCACCATCATAACGCCACTCATGCAATCCCCACCATCATAACGCCACTCATGCAATCCCCACCATCATAACGCCACTCATGCAATCCCCACCATCATAACGCCACTCATGCAATCCCCACCATCATAACGCCACTCATGCAATCCCCACCATCATAACGCCAC